TTGTCTAGGGGAAAATGAATTTAACTATAATATATTCTGTATTTGCAAATGTAGAAATAAAATACTTTATAATTAAGCGCGAATATCTATTTGAGGGGGAGGGGGTTGCTTACCAGTAGTTCCTCATGCACTTTTTTCAATGTCTCTTGACGATGATTCTTTTGCTGAATTTTTATCTAAAAAAGACCCAAATTTACTTTTAACATTTAAATGTACATTGTACGTGCAATTGTTGTTAAGTAAAGGTTTTGAAGCATATTACTAATTAAAGATACACATCATTTAATTTTGTATCTTACCAGTAGCTCTTTATGGACTTTTCCGAGTATTTCATGATGATTTTTCTTTTCTTTGATTTTATTCTAGAAAAAAGTAAACATATATCTATATAGGAGTCAAAAATAAAATTATCAAGAATCAACATCTCAGAACCCCCCTCCCCCGAAATTCTTCTGTTCTGTATACGGTATGTTAAATTAATTTCATTTTTTACCTGCACCTGTTCAAGGATTCTTTTTATCAGGTCTTGTCTTTTATTTTCCTCCTGTAATTAAACAATATTAAGTTGTAATAATGATTTTTTCCCCATCATTAACACAATTTATTTATATCACAAAAATTAGATGCTAATTTGTACAGAATGAAGGTCGTTTACAACTTCACTAAAATAAGTATAAAAGTATATATACTTCTGAATGAAAAAGGTGAGAATAACGATCAGTGATCGATCTCAAAAAACAAAAACAAAAAATCTGTTAACAGGACATATTAATAAAACACGGATCCCCCGGAAATTCCAGAGGGGGAAATCAGGTGCCTAGGAGGAGTAAGCATCATAAAAAAAATGTTGTCGCCCCCCAGTTTGATAAAATACCTGCTGTCTCCTGTCTTCTTCTTCCATGGCCTCAGCCCAGCTATATTCGAATTTCAATATTTTCAACTTTGTCTCCTGAAAAAAAAAAAATAGTCGAAGTGGGAATTTGATTTCACTCTTTGCTCAAAATTTTCACCTAATATGCAATTACTTTTAGTAGTAATTTGTATTAGATAATTAATATTATCAGGTGGAATGGATATTGAGCAATGACAAAAAAAATAATTTAATGTTTGTTTTAAAAATCACCAAGTTCTAACTAGGAATTTTATATTTTACTTTATTTTATTAAAGTTTACTCTTCGATTTTGTTTTCTCCTTTTTAAGGGCTCCATGATTGTTAAGGCCTGTGTTTAATTTACGGCTGCGACTGACCTAAGTCGATAAAAAATAGGTAGTGACTATTCCTTCGCCAAGCGCTCGGAACTTTGAACTGAAAGTTGCGGGTCCTTCGGATGAGACCTTAAAAACCGAGGCCCCGTGTCACGGTAGGCGTTGGCACGATAAAGAACCCTCACTGCTCAATGGCCCTAAGTGCCGAGTAAAGGTTTAAATTTGAAACCCTTTACCGGTATATGGTGACGTCTCCATATGGAGGAAAAATGAGTGCTCTAAACATGGAGTGTTTAGAACATAGATATCAATAACTCTTTAACACTTACCACATCCCGCACGGCCTCTTCACCAAAATCTAAAACCACATCCTTTTTGAGAATCTAAAAATAAAATAAAATAAATAGATAATGTAAAAAAAAAAAAAACCACTCTTACTACTTTCTCTGGTGTTATTTTTTTTTTTGTAGCAATGATTGAGACTTCGTCTTTTTTTATGCTTTGTGTAAATTCAATTGCGTTGTTAAGTCATATTCTAAACGTTGTTATAGTTATAATCCTTTACGTAGAAATATTATTAAAATCTTTTGTCGATTTTTTCTCATTGGAACAGTTTTATTATTGTGACAGCTAAGGTTTCTTAAGTAATCCTTTTTTGTAGAAGCAGTTCAAACTAACACAAATGCTTTACAATTGCACATTTTCATGAAATTATTCATTCAGTACGCTTCAAATGTTGTCTGAATGATGACATTTTCTTTACGACTGAAAAAAGATGCACTAAAATTGTTAAAATTGAAATTAACAAAAAAAAAAACAAAACGATTTTTTAAATCATTTTTGAATGAGACGAAGAAAATTCGCAATATATTGAGATTCCTGGCAATTAATTAAGTAGAGTTGGGGAGACAATCTTTTGGATAGTTGTCAAGTGATATATACAAAATACCTCTTGTCTTCTGTCCTCTTCTTCCATGGCATCAGCCCAACTGTAGCTGAATTTCAAAATTTTCAACTTTGTCTCCTGCAAATGGTCGAAATGAAAACCTTTTATCTATTTTCATGTGGATTATATGAAATGCCCAAAATTTCCATCTTTGAAATAAAATAAAATTTTAATCGATGGTAATTTGTATCTGTAAATGTTAATTTAACATTAATTAAATGTTAATTTTATCAGGTGGAATGGATTAAGAATGAATAAAGCGTAAATTAAATGCCCCCTCCCCGGAAACCCACACCTTCTGACTAAGAATTAAATATCTTATTTTTCAGGTAAAGTATAAAAATAATACTAATCGATTTTCCCCCTGCAGAGGGGATGGTGGCGGTTAAAACACTAGAAGGATTCAAAATAGGGATATTTTTTATCAGAACATAGAAAAATTTTCATCATTATGTCTAAAAACATCCAATTGAATACAGGGCTTTATGCTTGATTCAAATGTTGGAAGGAAAAGGTAATAATTTTGCAATCTTCAAATCAACTTATTATTGTACTGAAAACATGAACAATCCTTTTTTAAAACGTCTTAACAACCCCCCCCCCTCCCCAACACATCCTTTCATTTTCCCCCTCACCAACGAAATGGGATTGTAACACTTTTTTCTATGGTAATTAGATACTGAAGATATTTGTTGGATCAGTAAAAGTTATAGAATTTTAAGAACATACATCTCAACCACTATGTAACACTTACAACATCCTGCACGGCTTCTTCGCCAAAATCTAAAACCACGTCCATTATGAAAATCTGCAAAGCAAACAATAAATAAATAAAAGAATAGTTAATATTTATACAAAATCAAAAAATAATAATTGATATTAATCAACTCTATGAAAAGAATTCATGTAAAATCCTACTTCTACTACACTACTTCTAATCTTTGCTTTTCCTTAGTGATGTTTTGTTGTAGCAATGATTGTGACGTCATACTCTTTGTTACGTTGTGTGAAATTAATTGTGACGTTAAAGTCACTCTAATATTAGATCAAGTGTTTAAATAAGAACCATTTAAAAGATTATCAAAATCAGAAATTTAAAGAAAGACGATTCTATAAATCTTTATTTACATTATAAGCGAAGAAAAATCACATATACTGAGATTCTAAAGGAAATAACTACATGTATATAGAGTTGGAGAGAAAATTTGTATGTTATTTATCAAACAGACACTATTGTCTACTTAATCACTTAATCAAAGAATATCTGCTGATTTGGGGAATTAAGCATACAAACTCACTCATCTCAGCCAATGTAAAATAGCCTTGTGAGTAGTCACACAATGATTGAAAGCTGAAATATAACCCTTAATTAAGTAAGAGCTCGATGGTAGAGAAAATTTTTCAAAGAGTTAAACCTCAATTTTTGTTTAGCATTTGGAGATTATGGTATGTTTTGTATGATCTCTTAAATTTCAGTGATCCTATATCAAATATTATTTGATAAATAATAATCAAGTTTAAAATTTTCTTTAGCTGATACAATTTATTTATATGAGTCCTTTATAAATTAAAATAATAAATACATGTAGCTGTATGTTGCTCTTACCTGTTACGCCTTTCTTTGGTTGTAAAGGAGATGTTATTATTACGTCACTGTTCATTGTTACATGTACATCATTACATAGGCTATCGTCAGAGAGCCGTTGGACGTCACTATCCATCATGTCCATATACAGTATCGAACCTCGCAAAGTTTATAAAACGAATAAAAAGCGTCAATCTAGAAAAATAATGAATAGATAATTACAATATGTAACAAATTGAAACGTTCCTTGATTTTTAATTAAAGGTAGCCCGATCCTCAGGTTCTGAAAATCAGCTTTTACGTAACTGAAAATGCTCACAAAATGTCTCTGATTTCACATAGTAACATGAATTTACGGTATACCTAAGGAATTTCTTCAAAGTTCATCATTATAGTTAATCATATTGTATAGGGAAAATTATCAAATCTCAAATATATTTTCAAGAAATGCGAATAAAAACACCAGCTATGCATTTTCTAATTGAACATTGAACAACAAATATGATTTAAGATAGAAAAATATAGGTATCCAGGCATTAGGAGAAAATTGTATTTTTTTATGCTTATACAGTATTTTAGTTCCTCTTTTTAGTTCAATTGTCATATAATACATAGTGTTAAAAGCTTGTGGTTATTGCTAGACATCACATATCACATCTAATTTCATATCATGCTAATAAGCAGTCGTTTCTAATGCTAGACTAAAGGAGGTACAAATGTCAACTTTTTACAAGACCGTTTCTAATACTTCAAAGAACCTTGAATCATATTAAGATGCATAAAATGAAAATTGTTGCATGAAAAGATCTCAATTTCATGCTTCATTTTGAGACTTTTTAAATAAAATAATAATTTAAATTTACTAGTTATCCTTCCTGGCTGAGGATCGGATATCCTTAAAAGCTAAATTAAAACAAGTACTTTAGTCAGGCGCGGATCCAGGATTTTTTTCCCGGGGGGGGGGGGTCCATCCGAGTAAAAAAAAAAAAACTATTTCGTGGTGGTGGTAGTGGGGTGCACGTTTTCGGGGGGGGGGGGGGGGGCAAAGCCATTTTTTATTTGCTTCAGTACATACTTTTTATAACTCTGCAAATTCCGGACCCCCACCCCCTCTAGACCCGCGCATGTTTAGTGTTTATATTTCCTAAAATTTGCGCCGATTTCTTTCAAGCTTACCTCACAATATGACCCAAAAGGGTCATGATGATTTGGCTTTCCGGGTTCGAATATACCGCACCAAACTATCTTTTGGTTTTTTCACAGGAAGTGTAAGCTGGTAGAGAAAATTCGGTTTATAAGCATGTCTACAACCGGAGAACTTCAGGATGGCGATGGTCCTGATAGAAAAAAGATTAAATCAAGTGAATGTATCAGGTAAGCCCATTTCATTCCATGTTATCATATCATGCTTTAGAAGATTAGTTTATATTCGTGCATTGCAGCATACTGCCGACAAAATACAAGTTTCATTTCCACCACACCGCTCACTGTTGATTTTTTAAATCATGAAAACCTATATTTAAAAAAAATACGTTAAAGACAAGTTGTGTCAATTTATTTTTACTGTTCATTCCACGTTTAAGCTAAATATAGTGAAGGTGCTTGGTTATTGGTCAGTTTCTGAATCGTCCCATTCGTGTACACGTCACAGGTAAGTACAGCACACGTGTACACGAAAAAAAGCACAATGTCATTTTAAAAGAACCATTTGTTTGCTTGATTTAAGATTGCTTCGTGAATGTATATGTTTGAGAGATATGAATTATTTTTAGCTTACAAAAGGCTTGATTTTAGTGTCACATCCTTTTAAACCCCCCTCTTAAATGAGATATTCTGGTCCGTGATGGCGTATTTATACAGTTGATAATCACACCGTCACTCTTTCTAGGGCAATCATGGCTAGGTAGGCATGCATGCATGCTGTCAAACTGCATGCATTTTTAATAATATTTTACATAGAAATTTTTCTGAGAGAAACTTGCTGTAAACTACAAAAAATATAATATTTGCAATATATATTTGGGAAAAAAAAATACAGAGATAAAAAAAAGTAATATACATTTGCATATTGAGTTGCATTTCAGATAAATCTGATTTAATCAGTGCTTTGTAGGACAAATATACAAGATAAATGTAGCTTTAAAATGGACAAACTATGTATAGGAGACATTACAGGAAACGAAGTACATGAACGTGCATGTAAAAGTGTAGTGCATGATACATATAATGTACAAGAAAATCTGCATCCCGAATAATAACATTGTCATCATTGATCAAATGGAAATTTTTTGCAAACCATATCTTTAAAGTTTTAAAATGTAGTATCTTTAGGGAGGATCCACCACTATGAAAATATAGGTCAAATGTTCACAACTCTTCTGCTTTTAATATGTATAAAAATTAGGTAAATTTATAATAAGAAGAAATTGATTTTATTCCATAAGAGTTGTGTAGATACAACCAGCTTTGTTACCAATAAGTTTTTTTTTTCATAAATAGGAAATGGAAGTCAATACCCTATTTACATAATATGGGTTGTTAAATAAAAAGTATGGATCCAAATACATGTTTTTTTTCTGTAGGTCCAGATATACATGGAAACAAGATGTGTTTGTGAAACACTGATGCCCCTGTACGGCAACTTATGGTGAAGGTTAAAGTTTCTCAAATGCAAGTCAAAATCCTGGCCAAAAGATAAAAAATATTAAATTTGAAAGCCCTAGCTGCAACTGTTCAAAAGTAATGGCGAAGATTAAAGTTTTTTAAAAGTAAGTAAATCATCAAGGTCAAGGTCAAAGTTGTTGGTATCCAAAGGAAGGTCTTGTCACAAGGATTACATATGTAAAGTATGATTTCAAAGCCCTAGCACCAACCATTCAAAAGTTATGGCCAAGTTTAAAGTTTTTCGAAAGTAGGTCAAACTCCTATGTCAAGGTCAAAGGGTCAAAGTGTTTGGTATCCAAAGGAAGGTCTTGTCACAATGATTACATGTACATATGTGAAGTATGAAAGCCCTAGCATCAACCATTCAAAAGTTATGACCAAGGTTAAAATTTTTCAAAAGTAGGTCAAACTCCTAGGTCAAGGTCAAAAGGTCAAAGTGGTTGGTATCCAAAGGAAGGACTTGTCACAAGGATTACATATGTGAAGTATGAAAGCCCTAGCTCTAACCGTTCAAAAGTTATGGCCAAGGATAAAGTTTTTCAAAAGTGGGTCAAACTCCTAGGTCAAGGTCAAAGGGTCAAAGAGGTTGATATCCAGAGGAAGATCTTGACACAAGGAATACACGTGTGAAGTTTGAAACCCCAAGCACCAACTGTTCAAAAGTTTGTCTGTTTATCTGCTTGTCTGTTTATCTGTTTGTCTGTTTGTCTGTCTGTTGTCAACTTTAACCTTGCCCATAACTTTTGATTGGTTGGAGCTATGACTTTCATATTTCACATGTGTATTTCTTGTGACAAGACCTTTCTTTGGGTACCATCATATTTGACCTTTTGACCTTGACCTTGGAGTTTGACCAACTTTAGCAAAATTTTATGAGACTTTAACCTTGGCCATAACTTCTGAACAGTCGGTGCTTGGGGTTTCAAACTTCACGTGTGTATTCTTTGTGACAAAGCCTTCGTTTGGATACTAACAACTTTGACCTTTTGACCTTGACCTTGGAGTTTGACCTACTTTTGAAAAACTTTAACCTTGGCCATAACTTTTGAACAGTTGGTGCTTGTGGTTTCAAACTTCACCTGTGTATTCCTTGTGACAAGACCTTCCTCTTGATATCAACCTCTTTGACCCTTTGACCTTGACCTAGGAGTTTGACCTACTTTTGAAAAACTTTAACCTTGGCCATAACTTTTGAACGGTTAGAGCTAGAGCTAGCATACTTCACATATGTAATCCTTGTGACAAGACCTTCCTTTGGGTACCAACCACTTTGACCCTTTGACCTTGACCTAGGAGTTTGACCTACATTCGAAAAACTTTAACCTTGGCCATAACTTTTGAATGGTTGGTGCTAGGGCTTTCATACTTTACATATGTAATCCTTGTGACAAGACCTTCCTTTGGATACCAACAACTTTGACCTTGATGTTTTACTTACTTTTAAAAAACTTTAACCTTTGCCATAACTTTTGAACAGTTGCAGCTAGGGCTTTCAAATTAAACATTTTTTATCTTTTGGCCTGGATTTTGACTTGCATTTGAGAAACTTTAACCTTCGCCATAAGCTGCCATATGGGGGCATCAGTGTTTCACAAACACATTTTGTTTATATTTAGTACATGTATATATAAATATAAATTTTTGTTCCCCATAAATTTCATTTTGAAGGTAAAGTGTCTGTATTTAATGAGGCTTCACCATAACTACTTTAATTTTCTGGGCTTTACAAAACAAAATAGACAATTAGGACCTTACATGTAAATGCCACATACACAGTGCTTTTGAGGTCAGTATGATGATTTAGGCTTAGCTACCCAAAGAATACAATATTCACTGAGCCCAAAGGTCAAGGTGAATTTTGTACTTCAAGGGTTGCTAAATCAGTGTATTGACCAAAAAAAAAAACCCAGCATTAACTGTTTTATTATATGATTCAAAGATACAATCTCATTCAGCAAACCTTGCTGTCATGAGAGACACAGCTAGGATTTCATTAGATGACAAAAATAAACCAATCATATCAATTTAGAAGTTCCTGATCTATTTTTGGTCCAATGTAGAAAAAAAAAATCACCTGGAACGTCAGGTGCAGGTGAATATAACCTTCAATGATTTCTAGAATGTTGGATTTCAGCTTATTAGAAAGCTTAGGAAATCATTCAGTCATGTAATAAAGTAAATTATATATATATTTGTACTACAGTAAAACATGCTTATAACGAAGTGCCAAGGACTGGCGATTTTGCTTGGTTATAAGCATAATTCATTATATCCATTAAGATTACAATATATTTTTAAGTCGTGGGGAATGAAAATCACTTTGCTATAAGTGTCAATTCATTATAAGTGTGTTCGCTGTAAGAATGTTTTACTGTTAGTATGTTGCAGGGAGTCTTGAAATGAAGTAGTTTTCTTTCACTTCCTTAATTGTTGATTTCACAGGGAGGGCATATTGTTGGGATATGGAAATCCTCTGTTAGACATATCATGTAATGGAACTCAAGAGTTTCTAGACAAGTAAGTTTTTTATAGCTATCATTTAATTAAGTCAGTGTAATTGCTCAAATCCATATTATCCCAGCCATTCAATCAAAGCACTAAAATTTTTCAGTAAATCTATTTGATAAATATGTATGTTACAGTATTCAACAATTTTTACAAATAAAAGTTCATACTCATGATGTAGCATTTAGAATCTTACAAGAAATGTTAAAAGGAATAGTTATTTCTATAAGGTATGGACTGAAGAGTGATGATGCAATCCTGGCAGAAGAAAAGCATAAGCCTATGTAAGTAGTTCTAGATATGTATTCTGATCTGTAAACCTTAGTACATTTGTAATTTTGTGGTTTATAAGGTGCCTAGTTAATTTATATAAGGTATATTTATGTTGTAGTTTCGTAAAAGATCTTATTTCCTATGTAGCTTGTAACACGAGCTTTGATTGGTTACAAAGTTGGGAGTAAATTTCCGAACACCCGACTTGAGCCGGGGTTAAAAAATGTGACGTCACAATGCATAGGTTCTCTATGATAAAAAGCAAATAACATGACGTCACGGAGCATTGTTGGACATAGTAAATCTTATTGATAGCTTGATTGGACTTGTTTACAAAGAATTTATTTTGGTACATAGGAAACAAATTCGTTATCCAGGTCCAATCAGGGGTGTACGGGGATTTACCCGGGGTTGCACCGGGGTAAATCCCCGTACACCATTGATTGGACCTGGATAACTAATAATGTTACAGGTGGAGAGGAGTGGTAAAACAAAAGTGAAGAGTTGGGGGGGGGGGGGGAGAGGAAAATGGGAAGGGGAAGTGGAAGAAGTGTACCCATGTTTATGCCCCACACAAGTTATAAATGCTCTGTTACAGTAGACTTTCAACATTAAACATTTTCTATGTAGAACTATGAATGAATGTAACAGGGTCAGACAGGAGATTTTATGCATTATTTTAAACATGTGCAATGGCATGTACAATGCATATATTTAAATAGGTATAAAGATATGGTGGACACTTTTGGGGCCCATGTAGAGTATGTTCCAGGTGGGGCTACCCTTAATGCAATCAAGGTAGCACAGGTAAGTCATGCGTCTTTAGCTTTTTGTTACCCCTATTATAAGTACTAAACAGGTAATCAAAGTAATCAGGTGAAGTATTAGTAAATTATGTCACACATATAGTACAAGGAAATATAGCAGACAAACTTGTGTTCATTTATTGTCTTTTTTTCTTTAATTTGGATTTAGTGAGAGGGGGAAAAAGAAAGATTGTATATTTGAGAGTAAACAATTTTTTTTTGAGGTAGAAACAATGGTATGGAACTTGAATACTTCTTTATCTATCAGTAATAATGTACCCTTGTCTTAATTAGTGCAACATGCTTGAAATATGGTATTATTAAGTTTGATAATTGTGAAATGATTTGAACTCTGACGTTATTTAAAAAAAAAAAACTGCATGTTGATGAATGAGAAAATTATTTCCTTGTTCATCCAGGAATAATAAAACATTTAGTAGTTAATGAAAGATATGTTTCCTAATTTTAGTTTAAGTAGCAAATCTTAATTCATCAAATGAAATACTCTGTTTTTCAATTCCAATGATTTATATTTATGTTCTTAGCATACATATTTTGATTTTAGTGGCTATCTGGAGTTCCACAGGCTACCACATTCTTTGGGTGTATCAACAAAGATGAATTTGGGAAAATAATGGAGAACAAAGCCAGAGAAGCTGGTGTGAATACACAGTTCCAGTATACTGACAAGGAGCCAACAGGAACCTGTGCTGTCATTATCACTGGAAGTAATAGGTAGGTCTTACAAAATAGCTAATAATAGGGTCTAGATATGTCCTCCTCAGGAACAATGTGAGTCATGATCAGCAGAACATGTGCCTGTGAGTATGCCTGCTAATAGCTTAAGTTTGGGACTGATAATTTGCCAAATGTCATGATTTTCTGGGGGTTTGGGGCCCCCTGAACCCTCTCCTTGGGCATTGCCCCTGGAACCCATTGAGGACCTCGGCAGGCCCCAAGCTTCTGGCCTATTAGATGACTCCTCCATTTATTGAGGGTTGGCATTTCTGGCAGATTCAAGAGGAAGTGTGTGGTTTTGATCACTGGCAGTACAGTAGTCTCCCTTTTAAACAGAATCGAATACAAAAAAATATAGCATTTATAAACTAAAATGAGAATTTGATACAATTTTATTTCCCATTTGATTCTCTTTGATTAAAAGTCAGTTTTCAGTGAAATTAAGAAATGTGTTTCAGCTTTGAGAGTTCAAAAAGTTTTGTTGTGATAGTTTTAACCCAGGCATATTTTATGAAGCTCGTTAACACTTCATGAAAAATGTGCATGGATGATAAGTACCGAAATCATGTCATATCCTCGAGAACTTGGGAACTAGTTTCCTGGAACACCAACAAGGTACATTTATAATGTATAAATGCTGTATAAAACGTACCTTTATCCTATGAACTACATGAACAAAGTCTAATAAGTATTGATAAATAAGTCTGAGAAAATCAAGTATGTTTTTACAAGTTACATTGTGTGAAGCTTGTTCAAAACAATCAAATAATAGAAGGTAGCTGTAAAAATCAGGCCATCTTTTTACAGGTCTCTTTGTGCCAATTTAGCTGCAGCCAATTGTTTTACAGAGGAACATCTGGAGACCCCAGAACACTGGAAACTTGTTGAGAAGGCCCAGTATTATTATATAGCTGTAAGTCAGAATTTTATTTTTAAAAAAAATGCTCTCTTGTTGCTGCTTTAAGTGGTATGGTCTGTAAATTTTGCATAATTTTGTAGATGAGATGCCAGTAAAAAATGGTTCAGATTAAAACATCACTTTCTCAAGAAAATTATCACAAATTTCACAGCATATGTAGAGATATTTGGATAAAACAGGCATGTTTGTAAAAAAAAATTGTTCATGTATATTTACTATTTAAAAGACCTGATATACAAAGGGGTGTTCATGAATAAGGTTAGATTTGCTGGATAATCATGCTTTTGAGTACTGTGTAGATGCTGGATTTCACACCTGAATGAATTTCTGTCTTGTTCTTATGCTAGCACATTGATCTGTCTCTGGATGTGCACCTGCTTATGAAATCATCAAGATGCTTTTTTTAACCAACTTGATTTCCCTTTCCCCATAATATCTGATGATGTAAATCTTGTAATTTTCATATCTTCAGATAAAAAAAACCCCACTTGTCTGTCAAGTATTTTTGTGCAAAATTGTGGACCATATCATTTTATATGGTGATTGAAACATTAGAATCTGAATATGTTAAGAAGATTTCACATTCTAGCTTGTAGCAGAAAGGGGATGGTTATGTAAAGAACCAATTAAAATTTATACTTTGTTGAATCTAACAGAGATTAATCAGACTACCGGTACTTATGTATAAATCTTTTTTCAGGGATTTCCCCTTACCGTTAGTCCCCCAACTATAATGAGAATCAGCAAACACGCCCAGGAATCTGGCAAAGTGTTTAGCATGAACCTGTCTGCACCATTCCTATGTCAGTTCTTCAAAGACCCCATGCTCAAGGCCCTGCCATTTGTAGATATTCTGTTTGGAAATGAAACGGTAAGTAATTGAAATGCATTGCCCAATGGCAGATTGTTGATCTTTTGTTAAAGTTTGCAAATAATTTATCATCAGTAACATCTTGCATCACTAAAAATAACAATTATATAGAATGAAAAGACTTTTATTTTAGTCAGTATTTGTTCTGCTGTGGTATTAATTTTCAGAAAACTTATAATACAACAGCTGGTGAATGTATTATTATCTTTTTACAGGAAGCAGAAACATTTGCAAAAGAAAACAATTTCGGGGTAAGAATTGAATCAGGTGACAATAAAATAGTAGCCAAGCCTTCTGTCCATACCGTGTGAGTGTTAAATTGTAGCAGTGCTTGGTGGATGTTTATTTCAGACCACCGATATTGCACAGATTGCACTAAAGTTAGCTGCTCTACCAAAGGAGGACAACAAACCTAGGACAGTGGTCATCACTCAGGGCAACAACCCAACTGTTGTAGCTAAAGGTCAACTTTATTTATATTTCCCAAGTGAAACTATCCCCATATCCTTGTATGTCATAATATATGGATTTATTGAAAGAGATATTTTTAACATTTTTCATATATATGCCTAATCATAAATTATAATGTTTACCAGTGTTTGCTCCTACCCATTCCTCTTTTTATCTTTTAATGGACAGTTTGATAATGAATGGAGACGAAGTGATCTTTGATACCAGTATTTTTCAAAAATAAAATTTTCTGGAGCTAATTAAAGCTTATTGGGGTCTCAAGTTTCTGTTTTATAAACCACCAAAAAATTTTGAAAAGTGTAATGTGTCACAAATAGATGGTATTGATAAAATTCTGTATTAAAGTTCTTCATCATTTCACATTGCTATCTGAAACACCAAAAACTTCAAATTTCAGGTATATTTTAAATTTATCAGAACCTTCAGATATCTTATATCAGTCCTGTCCAAAGTTCAGTCATAAAAATGATGGCGTCATCTGATTTTATTAACTAAATGTACAATATTGTAATACAGCATTAGAGAGTGTATTATTACAGATGGTAAAACAACAGAGTACCCTGTAATTCCTATTGCTGACAAGGATATTGTAGATACTAATGGAGCTGGGGATGCCTTTGTTGGAGGTAGGTGACACTAGGTGTATACTACAGAATCATGATCACCAGTACATTCTCTCATTTATAGTTGTCTAGTAGGTTATGTCCCTTGATACAGCAGTTAAAAGGATTTTAGTGGTATATCTCATACTATTGTTTAGAAATTCTTTTGTAAACTTGTGAGCTGCATTTCACCCACTATGAAACTGGCATGGTGTATACCCCAATAAAAAACAATCTGATATCCATATTTTGAAGAAAAAAAATTAAATTAAAAAATTTAATTAGAAGTTGTTGTTTTTTGTTTTTTTTTAATAAAAAAAGAAAAAAACATAAATACTATTTATTTATGAACAGGTTTCTTAGCCCAGCTTATTAAAGGCAAGCCCATAGAGGAATGCATTCGAAGTGCGAACTATGCAGCTAACCTTATCATTCAACGATCAGGATGCACCTATCCAGAGAAACCAGATTTCCACTGAAAATTGTGTGCTGCAGTGGAGAATGGTATTAAGGGTAAATCATGGGCATCTTGTCCTAGTGGTTGTGCAGAAACACAAAAAACCTCTCTATAGTGGATCAAGCACAGAGACTATCACTTCTTTCCGTCATCTTAGACATTAACAATTAAATATGACTAGGGCTCTTTCAGAGACAAGTTTCAATAAATTGTAGGAATTTTTATCAAGTATTATCCATGGTTTATATACTGTTCCAAAAATTGTAGCAATTTTATCAGGTATTATTTATGGTCTATCTACTGTTGTATTTTATTTTACATATGTTGTTCCTGGAAATTATGATGGCATCAGTGCAAATGAAGTGTGTTTTACACTGTATGTTTTGTATTAAAATCTGAAAAGTTATGGTCTACCTTGTTTTTGAATATTCTATACAAAAATAATGTCATAGCAATCGATGTTTATCTAGGAGGTATTGTTCTGTCCTAAAGAAATAGTATACCAAAACACTTCTAGTAAAACTGTTACCAGGATTTTGATTTTTGTTGAAGATTAGGTACACAACTGCATTGGTGAAACTACTGGGGGACTGGCTTACAAGACATGATCAAGAATTTGATTACACCATACATGTAGCTTATATTTGGATACTGTATACAGGGTTATTTTCACCCTTTCAATTTGCAAATGAAGGCAAAAGTGGCTAAAATGAAATGGGGGGGGGGGGGGATTTCCATGTACAATGTATACAGTAAGTCACAGATATTATTTCAATCAGCATTTGAAAATAAGGAGAATTCGATTCATTCTATGTACAAATAAAACTCAGCATAAAATTCAGAGACACTTTTGCTCTACTTGTCTTAGATAGCTAAAGTAATTGTTGTCCATCTACCTGTAAACAGTTTTTAGCTCTGCTGTTAAAGATGAGAAAAGCTTTATCTGATTGGAAGGTGTCCATTGCCCCCCCCTCCCCCAAATGTTTGTGAACATTTTTTTCCCAAACATTACAACCGTTTTGTTCTCTATTTTTCAAAAAAGTCCTTAATTTTTTAATGTTTTGTATTGATTTGTGTTTGAAAACTATCAAGACTATTTTATACACACCAAAAAAGTTCGCCTTGAACATTGCCTCGGAGATAATTCAATGATTTGTCAGGTTCACGTCTAAAGAACAACCCTGTCTCTAGGCATACAAGTAGACTACATTAAAATACGTAATTCTGTATATCGGTTTTTGAGGAACGGTGTTGTCATGGTTTCTAAAAATAGAAATTTCTGTGAAATGCTTTCAAAACGCTACTCCTCCTACACTTTTCGTCTGATTTCAGTGTAACTTTGCACACAAGTAAACTACACTAAGATACATAATTCTGTTTATCAGATTTTGATTTCGATGAACAGTGTTGCCATGGTTCCTAAAAATAGAATTTTTTTTAGGTCGCCTGAGTTTACTCAAAAACATTTTCAGTAGAGATGGCAATCGAATACAGAATTGCTAATCAGTTAACCGCAAAACGTTTCGACCGATTAACCGGTTATTCGTATCAAACTACACAATTTCTTGACTTTTTTTCAAGTAGCTCTACAACGCACTTAGAAAAAAATTTTCAAAGTGCGTTAATTTTGGGACCACGTTAACGCACTTTGAAAAAAATACATTTCTTTTCAAAGTGCGTAAATATCGACCATATAAACGCACTTTGAGAAAAAGTCAGATTACTTCTAAATCTGTAATTTGATATTAAAACGCTAGACATGTCAAATAGCATGTTTTAATTACCATGTAAATGCATTTTTTCGGAGGAATCATTGTGGATACATTTTGAATAAAGGTTATGCGGCTCTCTTCTTTAATATAATAGGGTGCGTAATTTTTTTTTCAGGAAAGCTTCTCAATTTTTTAATATATTTTCGTTAACTCAAATTTATTGAGAGAAATAATTTCAATGTCATACCAGTCATGTAAATACATATATTTGTGTAGGAAAGATAGAGAGTTGGGCTGAAGGACTTTCTACCTGTCTTCTCGTTCTCGATGAGGATAGATCAATTCATCAGTTTTTCAGAAGAAATATAACAAATGCCGTCTATTATTAAAATCTAAGTCCAGAATTTTTGTTTTATACGTATTTTTTCAAAGTGCGTTAGGTGTCTCCATGGTAAAAAAATGTTGATGTTCACTCTTAACGCACTTGGAAAAAAATTTTCAAAGTGCGTTGATTTTGTCCAAAATATAACGCACTTTGAAAAAAAAAATCAAAGTGCGTTAATTTTGTCCCAATTTTAACGCACTTTGAAAATATTTTTCAAAGTGCGTAATTTTTTCAAGGTGCGTTGCCACAGATGTTAGCTCTATTCCCATGCACATGAAGTCTTTAAGAAAAGATGTTAGAGGTTAAAATCATTCTATTTGTCTTTATTCTTGGTCAGCTACGTGCATATATTTTTTTTTTATTTCAACAGACAAGATAAAATAAGATAAAATAAAGATAAACAAGATAAAATTCAGAAAACCATGAAACATGCCTGAGATATCGTGGATAATTTTCCAGAGCGGTTGTCACACAAGTTCATTCTTCATTGTCACCATAATCAAAACTAAGCCTTAACTGTATCACTTAATTTACATTTTTGTTTAATAATTCAATTTGATAGACATAACTTCCCGATGCTCAACGGTGATTATTATCATTAAAGAATTACAGGACAGTCGGGGTAACGATATGATGTTTTAACAGTAATTAACATATCTCAGACAGACCAATTACCCCACAATTTTAATATGGAGAGCCATAGTTACCTCCCAATCAGCCTAAATAAATATATGAAAGCGCCAAATTAAACGTTTAAGTAGGAATTTCTTTTTTTTAAATGAATTTCAGAAGATAGCCTTCAATTTTACATATATTTTAATTTTTTTTTCGACTAAACGATTACAGATTTTCTAACCGATTGCCATCGTTCCGACCGAGTAATCGGTTAACCGGTTAGAAATTGCCATCCCTAATTTTCAGCTTCTTCTTAAGAACCACTGAAACAATTTCAACCAATTTTGGTATAAAGCATCTATGGGTTAAGGGGAGTAAAAATTTTTAAAATTTATTACCCCTGTCCCCTGGGGCATGAGGGATGGGGATAAACCATCAGAATTAATGCAATCTTTAAAATTTTTCTTCTTTACTCCTGGACATCAAGCTGTCAAACGGTTGGCATGATTGTAATAAGCATTGAGCCCTCTACCAAATTTTGAAATTCATGGCCCCAGGGTCAGGGGTTCCGGTGCTAGGGTGGGGCTCTATTGAATATATATTGAAAATGCATTATTTCTTAAAATCTTCTCCTCTGCTCTTGGATATTAAGGAAACAAACTAATTGCATAGTTATGATGAGGAAAGGCGCCTATTCCAAAATTGTGAATTTCATGGACCCTGGGTCGGGGTCCTGGTGTTAGGGTGGGGCTCTAATGATTATTTATTGAAAATGCATTAAGGAGGAATGCCACACCAGAATTTTATTTAATAGATCTTTTAGACATCCCTTTTAAACTATGGTTTCAGTATTTAAAGACCGATATTAGCTTTTTTTTTTTCATTTTTTCAGAGAAAATGAAAAAAAAAATGTTTTAGATGCTTTATGGTTTAAAAATTTCTGTTAATGAATGCATACTTTGAATGTCTAATAAAATATGTAAAGAAAGGCTGGATAGACATTTTAATTTTTAAAATAAAAAAGTATAATCGGCCGCAGCAGCGACCGATCTATTTGTGGTTGTTAGAAAGTGAACATGGGGGAATGAGACGTTATTTCTGTATTAGTTCCGTAAATAAATTCTTTAATGATAAAGTTTAAAAATCATGAGTAAAATATTTTAAAAACTTGCTTTAAACTAAGTCTTAATTGTTGTTATTATGTTTCAATTTCATTTTCATTTGTCTTCAGATAACTGTTAATTTATGATTATATAAAAAGAGTTTACAATAGGTACTCCAAAACCTTGGAGTGTGTAAGATATGAACGCAAATCTTCATGATTTTCCGGATAATAATAAAGTGGTTAAAGAGCATGATGAAAGAAAATTGAAAAGTTGTTTAACTAGTTAAAATTGTTTTGAACATTCTACAACTGCGATTGACATAAGGATAATTTTTTTTCTAACTTTTGCACCGCGCTGTGCAGCATAGTACTCTGCAGAAATCATCGACATCAGATCACGGGACAAAGATCCAGGGTATCAGCACGTGGTTCATCTTGAAATCTGAATATAAATAGATCTACATCTTCATTTTAATGTCAATAAATATGCTTGTCATTTGACTTTAGTTAATAATTACATCAATATGAATCAATTTGATGAACAAATGCACTAAAATTTCTATTTATCTATTTTTATTTTATTTTTTGATTATTTAATATTTATTTATTTATTTTTTTTTTTCTTTAAAGACAGTAGGAAATAAAAATGATCATTCTTTCAGCTTTGAATATCTTGTGCTTTCTTGTGAAAGTACTTTTTGAAATGCTAAATTTTGTTTGGGGCCGATTTGATGCTTTGCATCAATTTTACTTGTTTATGAAAATAAAATACATTATTTGTGAATATTTTTTTTAAACTTACGGATAAAATCTTCATAAAACTAGTTACAACTAGAGAGAACATGTTAGTCAATCATATTTTATGGAATTCCATATACGACAGCCAACTGCTTACTGCCAACTGCTCACTGTTTACTGCCAACTGCCACACGTATCTGAATAAATGTTCATATTTATATTGATATTTATGTGAATTTTCATAAAACCAGGCGCGGATCCAGGATTTTTTACAGAAGGGGCCCACCTCAGTAAAAAAAAATCCAACTCGGAAATTTCTTGACAAGGAAAAAAAACCCCATAAACCCAAAACGTAAACTCCTTTCCTAAACGTGAAAAACCTATTTCGAGGGGGGGGGGGGGGGGTGTTGACATCTTATGCTTCATATCTATGACTTTTCATATCAACTTAACGCGGATCCGCGTTTTCTAGGGGGGTGGGGGTGGGGGGTTCAAGGCCACTTTTAGTTGGTTTAGTATATACACTAAATAACTCTACAAATTCCAGGGGGTGGTCCGGACCCACCCACCCCCTTCCACCTACCCCCCTCTAGATCCGTGTATGTAAAACATAACTTATTTGGGAAAACAAAGAGATATAAATCTTTAATTTGAGAAGATATTTCACTATAGAAATTAACGGAAAATGGAAATTTATTTTCAAAACATCTTCCCCCGCGAAACAACAATCCTTTTTTTCAGTTTTTATTCATTCCAAAGGTTTTGTTGTCTCACGGGGGGGGGGGGGGGGGGGGCACGTGTTTAAAGATTAAAAAACAGCAAAATAGTCATTTTATTACCAATTTCAAATG